AGAATACACAATGATTCTCTACTGAGAGGTTGATCATTTTCAACAGTAGCAAATCCCTTTAAGCACCGTCCCAATCAACCAAACTGTGTTTGGGACAAAATAAAAGCAACCCAATTCTAAAAATACAAACATTTTCTATTGATTTTATTGCAAAAGTACATTATATTTTTCCATCAAAAGTTTGTGCAATACATTGGACAGTTTTATGACCTGATGATGAAAACTAGCTGAAGTTTATGCCATTTTCCTCACATGGTGCATTTCAGGGTCAACTTCCTGTTTGATGATTGCACCGCCTACTTAAGTGATGTCACACCAGTGAAATTTGGATTATGTGGTAGTTTTTATTTCCACTCATCAGGCGAGAAAATGAATCCTGCATATTTATTTATACTGTCCCAATCACCCTGAATTCACCATACATATAAATCATTGTGTAAAGTATTTACGAAGCACTTTCTAATTAGGTACCCAGTCCTTTAATAAGGGGGTATACATTCATTTATTATTTTTATTGTTTTGTATTATTTGTATAGTAACAAATATGTAGCACAGATAAATGCCACACACCACATTTATAGCCTAAGCTGATTTGCAATGTAATCAATGGTATAATAAATAATCTTAAATGTGTAATCATTAAAATTAATCATGTAACGTTGATAACTAAAGTTAGTAACAAATGTTACTGAGTTACATAATATGGGAACTAAGTCATCCATTTGCTTCATTAAAATTTAATTACAAAAAATTACATTTTTATGTAAATACAGTATGTAACAATTATTTCATGAAAAGAGAATAGAAGCTAAATAATCAACAAAAAATAATCTCTTAGTGTATTTTTATTGTTATTTGCTCAATCTTCCAGAAAATCTTCCACCAGTTTGTTGAATTCTTCAGCATACCTCAGGTGGAGATTGTGTTTACCCTCCGGCATCACGTGTAATCTAGATATGGGACCAAAAAGGGGTAAACACGTGTCATTTCTTGAAGTTGAGGTGATTTTAATATTGTTTTTATAAGTGTGTGTGTGTGTGTGTGTGTGTGTGTGGACTCACCGTGATCCCGTGATGTTTTTGAGGAGGTACTGTGGGTGTAAGCTGGGCACCATGGGGTCTTTTTGTCCATGGATGATGAAGGTTGGACAGCTGATTAAGGGCAGAAGCTCCATGCAGATACTCCCTGACCAGAAGACATTAAACATTTTGGCTTTACTCTCTTCAGCTTAACATAATTAAGGATTTCAAATATGTTCCTTATGTATTTTTTGTGTACACTGGAAGCTCACAGTATTTACACATTCTCGATACTTTACAAACATCAATATAAGAAGAATATTTCCAATAATACTGCACAACATCTCCCCTCCATCTCTTGATGCTCTGATGCTTTGAATTCAGTACCTTCTGGTCTCTTTGCGAACTGTGCGATCCCGTCCACCCAGGCCTCCCAGGTTTTAGCAAACACTTCTGCTCCATACACCTCCTCCATGGGCTGCCTCATCCTCGCACTCCACTTGGAGACATCACGGACCGCTGTGTGTTCCCGCAGAAACCCATGCACACATCGACACACAAGGACACACAGTTCACACCACACACACACACTTTAGCAGTTTAGGACTACATTGGCAGCTCCAAGACAATGAGAAGTACAGTAGGAGTACCATCGTAAAGCTCGAGGTCGTGCTGGGAGACGAAGGCATTGGATCCCCATACAACCATCTTGTTGATCAGGTCGGGGTTCTTCGCTGCCGCAATCAGAGCTGTGATTCCTCCGTCACTCCACCCCAACAGAGAGAACTTGCCAAAGCCCAAAGCCTGCCAATAAAATAAAAAAATACTTAAACACCACTAACAGAGTGTCTTTTGTCTCAAATGCACTAAATAATGAACATAAACACATCACAAAAGTAGGGGATCAAAGCACTTCTTAGTAAGCTATGTTCATTAGATTGGTAGTAACCCTCCACTGATCAATAGACTGACCGGACCTTCATCAGATCCACTGCGTCCTTTGCATCCCTCTCAAAGAAGTCAATGGGGAAGTCTCTGTCTGGGGGGCGAGACTGTCCATAACCTCGGGGGTCCCAGCCGACTACAGTGAAGCGTTCCTTATTCAGAGACTTCAGCTGAGGTCCAAAATCAGTCCGAGTGCTTCCTGTGGTAGAAGAGACCAAAATGCCATTACACTGCAGCAGAAGCCCAGAGTGTGTTTCACGTACAGCACATGAGACGGGTTGTATTTACCCAGAGCACCAGGAAACAACAGCACAGCGTGGTTCCCTCTGCCGGTCTGCTCGTAGTACAGATCCACGCCATTGACACGCTGCCTGCCGGAGGCCACTGAAGAGCTGCGGGGGAAACAGTGGACTGTGGCAGTAATGGGAAATGATAGATCTGATCTGACACTCACGGTAACATTACCATACTGCATCTCTCTTGTATTTCATTGGCTTTGACAAGGCTGTAACAGGGGATGAACCTTTCATTTATTTTCTACAATAATGTGGAGGCCAACAGGAGTCTCAGGGGTTTCATAACACAAAAACATTATCACAATCAACATTGATTTAGCCTCCATAACACTGATTTTATGGTTTAATTTTGCACTTTTTAATACATTTTAGAGTAATGAAATAGACCGACGGTGCAGTGTTTGACATTGATTGTAATAAATAAACTCAATTGAGTGGCATTTTCTGCTGACATGTGATTTTTCTTTGTATTTTTGTTCTTTGTTCTGTATGTTTTTTCTAATTAGCTTTAGTCAACCAAATTAGATATATCCCTCAGGCAGCTTTGCTGTAGTTCAACTTCTTTCCATGTGAAGTAGTTTGCAGAGTAGCTGATAATAGTGATACTAATAGCAGCCACACTGCTCGTCAGTTATAATGATCATAAATAGCACTTTAAATTTACAGTGATACAGCTGGACCTCCACTGTGTTGCAAGGTTATTATAGTTAACTAAAACTAAAACTGGGTGAGAAAAAACATTTTAGTTTAGACTCATTTGTACTTGTATCTCATCACGTTGCAGTGAGGAAACACTGGAGGCAGAATCAGAAAAAGATCGAAGACTGAGAGAAAGAAAAGGAAATACCCAAAAAAAACTGAGTCAGATCTAAGACAAAGTAATAAAAACAGATTAAGATGTATGAATAAATAAAAACACAAAATAAACAGAGTAATAAATAGAAATGATTAAAATGTATAAATAGAAAAAGGGAATAAAACAAAAATAGTTAACTAAAAATAAAAATAAAAAAGCTAATTGAATTGATATTGTGTACTTACAAGTAAAATAAAATACTAAATATACAGGAAATGTCTTTTTTCTTTAGACTGTCTACATGACTGAGAGTCAGAAGGTTTGTACTGTAATCCATATTGTGAAATTCTTACATCTTATACCAGACAAAAAAACATATCTAACAATAACACTAACAATAAAACGAATTCGTACTAAACTAAAATAAAACATTTTAAAGCACTAAGAACTAACAGAAACCAGCAAAACCACTCTGGAAACTCACTAAACCGAATCTAACGAATAATGAGAAACAGTGAATTACAGTAACTCTGCGGTGGGGCACTGTCCGGACACACTGCGCCATCTAGTGGATTTAAATCAAACAAGCCTCCAGAGACAACGTGTAACTAAAAGCAGAGCAGGCCCTTTCCTGTTTCCAAACTGCGGCCAAAGTCCACATTTCAGCTCAATGTGCATAAAAAACATGCAAATATCGCAGTTAGTGAGCGCAGCGCAAACTCTTACCAGAACGGCTGAGACGCGGTCAGTGCGCTGCGGATGTCGGCTCCGCGTTTAAACAAACGTCCTCCGAGTGAAAGCAACGCCATTCCTGCAGCCTCCACAGCCCACGGAGCAGCTCTGTCCTGCGGGTCTTCAGGTGGTCAGAGACCCAGCAGTCCTCTGCAGTCCTCTGCAGTCCTGCACTGCGCGTCTCCAGGAGGCTGCGCTCACTTTGGCACTTTCCACATCGCCTTTATTGACAGAAATTATAAAGCGAAAGTACGAAAAAGAACCGAAAGGCAGCATTCACGTAAAGCTTATTATATTAAACACATATTGTATGTTTTCAGTAAGACATTATATTACAGGTGTATTAATTTCCGAGGAAATTTCCTTGAGAGACTCATTTGGAACAGCGGAAATAGAGACAATGTCATAAATATTTTGAGGCAGTTGTTGGTTTCAGGAGGAGTTTCCCTAAAGGTGAAAAGTTCCATATAAACACAACTCAGTGTTCATTCGTTATTCAGTTTGTAATGGAAACTGTATATATTTTCAGTTGTTTGTTTTCCTGCAGTGAGATTTCTGAATAGAGGATTGTGGTTTCACTAGAAAACAACTGAAAATGATTTATTGGAAATAAACACTTTTCTCCATTCTACACATTATTGTTAATATACCACACATGTCTTTTTACAGGAAACTTCATTTATATGAAATTATAGGACCTGTAAAATAAGAGTTTTACTTTATGTAGGCTATGCATTAATACATATAATGTTAAGAGACAAACAATGAATAGTATGTTCTCCTAAATCAGTGTTTTTTCTGTGGTGCCCCCCTGCAGAAGCCCCACCACCCCACAGTTCTTATCAATCATTGATAAGTAATAAATACGTTTAAGTGAAATAAAGGTCGACAGCGTCAACAAACTCTTTTTTTTAATCTTCCCAACATAAATCACATTCAGCTGGTTGTTTCCCTTTGGTCATCCATGCCCCTCCCGCCCTGCAGTGGCTTTGTGCCCCACCAGGGGGGCCCGACCCTCAGTGTGACAACCACTGTTCTACATAGTGACATTATGGAGTCAGTCAAACTCCCTTCAGACCAGAGACTTATTCAGGCAGGCTTTTAGTTAATGTACTGTGGTTTTTATTTCGAGTTTTATTTTTAAAGAAACTATTTTATTATCTATCTTTAAGATGTATGTATATATTCTACCTATGTGTTTTAATGTCACACTGTAAAGCACTTTGAGCTGTATTTCATGTTTCAAAAGGATTCTATATAATTAAAGTTATTATTATTATTATTATTATTATTATTATTACAAACTGATAAATCTCCAATCAAAGTATTTGGGATTTAAAAAAAAAAGAAGCACCAATCAGATATACTGAATAGAATAAAAGTAAAAATCTATTTTATTAACTTTAAGTTAAATATGACTTTTAAGTCATATTTAGCCATGTGGCTCTCGGGATGCTAACGTTAACATGCTAACACGCTGATATTCAACAGGTATAGTTTCACCATGTTAGTTTAGCGTGTTATCATGCTAACATTTGTTGATTAGCTGATGGGAATGTCACTAGTTTTGAGATTCTGTTGTAAAAAAACAGAATCCTGATGAGGACGTGAATGTACCACATTTCACGATTCTCAAATAATTGCTGAGACGTTTCACTAAAAACCACAAATGTCAACCTCATGGTGGCGCTAAAGAAAAAAGTCTTCTTCTTCTTCTGAGGATCATGAATGTCTATAACAATTTGTGCTTGTACATGCTGATTTATTTCACTGGATAAGTGTAGATACCAAACTTCATGTCAATCTAACCAATAACTGTTGAGACATTTGAGACTCGTCCTTTGGAGATATCCGGACAAAATTTCATAGCAATCAATAAATCAAGAAAACAATTGTCAGATTAATCGACAATGAAAACGACTGGCAGTTGCAGCCTCAGAGTAACTGTCTGTAAGGGTTCTGCAGCACCTATTGGTTAACTGCTGAGTGTAATCTCTCATCAAATTTGAAAGTAACTCCTGAGTAATGTCTCCTCTTTCTCTTTTTAACACCAATTTAATCATCAACATCTCACATCCTTTATTGTCTATGCAACACAGCCCCCACCCCCTCCTCCCACACACACATCCTCACACCTACAAAACCGGCGATGCTCCAACAAAGGTGTTTTTTTTTTATAGCTATGTATTCAGAAAGAGCTGTTTATCAATGGGTTCGACCCGCCTCTTGTGATGAGCTGTTAGCAGACCTAGTTCCCTGAGGCAGGCAGGCAGGCAGCTTTTTGTAAACGCCTCCACTCTCCTCTGCTTGTCAGAGCGTCTGAGCCATGCCACACACTGAACCACACACAGGAACACAAGAACAAGACGATAAAGCCGGTGGCTAAAAATACCTCGATGGCCTCAGAGCGAGGTGCTGAAGATGTAGCAGGATTTACTGGAAACGCAGTGACTGAAGTCGATTCAAGTGAATGTCCACTGAGAAACGACGCATAATTTAAAATAAATGGGGGGGATTTTTTTGTTCTGTGAGCAGTTCCTATAAAATTAGGAAGTCATTCGTAGTTTTCCCCTGTTTTATATAACATTAAACTGGTTATATTGCAATGATATTTGATCATATTCTTGATATGTAGGCTGGTTGTTCCACAGCTTCGGTCGAAAATGAAATAAATCGGCAACAGATAGATCGCTTTGAAATTTGATACAGACATTCATGGTGCCCGGAGGATGAATCCTACTGACTTTTCCTTTAGTGGCCCTGGCAGGCTGACATTTTTGTTTTAGAGAGAAATACCGTGACAACTATCAGGTTGATTGCCATGACATTTGGTAGACCATGAATTCTAATGACAGCCCACCAGCTGGTCAAAGTTTTCCCTTAAATTAATTTACAAACTTTAATTAATCAACATATTACAGACAATTGCCTCAAAGCAAATGTATTGAGTTTACTGGAAAACAGTGACTGAATTCTAGTCAATGCACAAGTTAATTATCCTGTTTCTCTGTAAAATCAATGTGTAACAATGTCGCAATGTGTGATATGATCACTATCTGCTTCCTCAGGCTTGTGTGGGCGTAGGTTAATCAGATTTTTTTATGGGTTTTTAAGCCTTGATAGGACAGTTGAAGATAGATATCTAGATAGATAGAGATATCTCTATATAATCTTAAGCAAATCTGATCAACCTACTCCCACACAAGCCTGAGGAAGAAGATAGTCATAATATCAAACAAGAGATTGAGAGAAGGGGGTCAACATGCAGCAGAGGACCGAATCGTACCCCGGCTCCGGCTCCGGGTGAGCTACCCTGCGCCCCCCGTTTAATCAGATTTGATCGACTAATGGCCTGGCGCCATGAGCAAACATCCCCACAACTTGTCATCGCATTTTGATGTTTGAAAATCGAATTTTTTAAATATTGCTGACTCCTGATTGGTGCACAGAAGTGTGGGACCTTTTTCCAACCTCTTCCCGCCCACAAACCAGCATGAAGAGCACAAACAAAAATGAAATATACAGACATTTCTTCCGTGTGAAATAATGGAAGCTGTCAGTCGCTCATACTAAAATATTGTTAGAAGATTTTAATCAGACAACCTTTATATTGTACCCGAATGCTTTGAGACTACATTGAGATGTATTGCAAGTGTATTTTGAGCCTCATTCAGAGGTGCTCCTTGTACGGTATAACACCTCAGCAGATAGTGATAGCCAGGCGTGCCGCACTGTTGGATCTGTTCTCCTCTGCCCTCTGGCCCTCAACCATCTTTGTCTGGTTGGTATGTGCCTATCCACAGTCCCATGACCCACTCCTGGTCTAAATATAAATCTCCAAGCAGTGTGTTCCGCTGTTAAGGTCACATTACATCATCCCAAGCAGCATATCCTCAAACACGCAGCTCTCGGGACGTGAGCTGCGGACACGTCGAAGGCTTTATGACATCCTGGGTCACACAAAAAGAGTCGTCAGGGGTGGTTTGAGAACGATGGGACGCAGCAACAGCTCGTGACTGATTGTATTCCTGTGGAGAGGGCTTGGCCAGAGCGAAACACCTCTGGAGCACTAGATGACACACAGCTCGAGCAGCTTTAAAAACCTGGTGAAGAAAAATCTAAATTGTGTCCTGAAGCTGAGGTGCTTTTCTTGAGAATTCTTGGCGGACATGGGTAATGGAATAAACAAGGTACAGTATCAAATCTCTATACTTAAAGGACTCAAAACGTGTTACATTTACTTCTTTTGACGACATTTCTAACTTTATTTCAGGTCCTGCCTGATCTTTATCTAGGAAATATCAAAGGTAAGACGTGCTGCCTCTTTTCATTTGAGTGAAGAATTGATTTATTTTCAGGATAATTTATGTTGAGGGTGTTTCAGTTCCTCATGTGGTGAGATGCTACACTGAACTCAGTTTCTATAGAGTGGAGAGGTCACAGTGTGCAGCAGAATGATTTAAGTCATGTATTTTGAAGAAAAAAAAAACAGTATTACACTACGTTTTTTGGCCCTTATGTGCATGTGCGGGGGTTGGTTGGTAACTCTCTCAGCAGCTGGAGGAAGGCCGCGTGAGTGCTGGTGTGGGAGGGGATGCCCCACTGTGTGGGGGTGTCCCCACTGTGAACTCTATTGCACATCTTTCCATAAAGCAGAAAAAGCAATCATTAGATTGCTTTTTTTTTAAATCCGTGCTCACATGACATGGTGACCACACAGAAAAATGTCACACAATATCAGTCACTTTTTGTAATCATGACATGTTCAGGGAACCACTGTCAAGTAGGACATCTGACACCTTTCATTTTAATCACCTTTGATCTGCTTATATTCCTTTTGCTTGGCAAATATTACAAGATGCTTTTAACCCCCTCGCAAACCTTCTTCCTACAACAGAAAGTGCAAGTATGAGGAAGAATAAAACTCTGAGATGGCAGTATAAGGCAGAACAGTCACTACAGTAGCAGTGAAGTTGGTTAAAGAAGAGTTTACTTTCAGGCTGGCTGGCAGAGTAATGCTTTAATTTGATGGCTTTTTGCACCAAAAATTGAAGTATATCTTCTATCTTTTAAAACTCACTTTCATAGAAGCTACTTAATGCCAAGAAAGACCCAGATAGTCTTCAGAGAATGAAGTTGATAATGTATCTACAAACAAAATGTGTTATCTCAGCTTTTCTTTTACATTTTAACTAGCTTGTAAACTAATAAAATACAGTATATTACACAAATTTATATGTGTGATTTAACGTTAGCTTTTCAACACAAAATTCCGTTAAAGGCTGAGATAGCTCTGCTGAGCAAGTTACATTAGCTTTAGCAGGAGTGTAGCGTTATCTCACCAGCTAGCGTTAGCTTGTTGTAGCTCTCTTGCTTTATCTGATTGTTGGCTGTGTGATTTTATCTTCTTTTTGTAGTTGCTGCTAGATTTACATGCTGTTTTCACAGGAATGATCTACGGCATACTCAATTTATAGGGTAAAACAGACCAAATATGTATGTGAGTGTGTTTTGACTTTGACTTTGTAGGACAGTGCAGGGGTGGATCTAAAGGGGTGGCATGGGAGTACTGCCACCCCCCAAAAAAATCCCATGCCACCCTAGTTTGGTGTCAAATTTAATACATTAATTTAGATTCATTTTAAAAATAATTTACAAAATGAATAATTTAATGATCTGACACATTTTAGGCTTAAGATCAATGAAAAAAGATATGTATTTGGAAAAATATCTGAAGATTTGGAATTAAAACAATTAAAGTTAAATAGGTAAAATATCTTAATTTGTGGGTTTTTCCAAGCAAATGTTGATGTGATTGTTTGCAATTAAATCAGCATATATTTCTCCTACACCTTAAAGTCTCCATGCCACCCCCTTGCCACCCCATGAATCTTTCTCTAGATCCGCCCCTGGGGCAGTGTCACTGGTCTGTGTTGAGCAGAAAGACGTCCACTCTCTGTTACCAGCTTTAAGAACCATGACACCCAATTAAAAATATTTATTCGATGTGACAGACACACTTGGGTATTCGTTTCATTGAATGACCTTCAAAGCACTGGCTTAGCCACAGTGCAAGTTACATAATCAGATTGTGTTTCCTCTGCAAGCATCTTAAGGATTTATATTAAGTACTCATATATATATACATATATATATATATCTTTATTTTCCAATTTATATTGTTAACAGTTTCTGCAGTTTATACAAACTCTGAAATTGGATTGTTATTTTAACTGATTTGGCTGGCAGGAGGGCCCAGACTCATGTTTGTCTTTGGGGGCATCAGCATCCTGCACACTTGCAAAGCATGAGAAAAAAGTGCTGAAGACACATCTGTCCAAGGTAGAAAACATTTGGCTTCCTTTTAAAGAACAAAATTTGATTAGAACAATTACTGTTTCTTGCTTTTGGCCCAAGCTGCTGGACTGTTTTAGAAACACTGGTTTTCCGGTTTTTCTTTCAGTTCAAAACAAGAGCAACACTTTTAAGCCATAAGGCCACATTTGCTTGGGAGACATAAGAAGAGGGGGGTTGTTGTTGGGTAGAAAATGCTTTATTTAGGTCGGACTCTTCTTGGGGTGGTTTGTGATTGGAGGGGAAGAATATTTGAGATTTTCGTACTTTCTTTTGCGGTCCACAGATGCGAGAGACGGAGAGCTGTTGGCTAAGCACAACATCACCCACATCTTGTCCATCCATGACACAGCTGCACCCATCCTGGAGGTGAGCTGTCTTCTGTGTGTCTTACATCGGCCTGTGAGACCTTACTACCTCAATATTAATCTGCCCATAAAGTACACAACTTCCCCTGAACTCACCACTGTTGTCCCCCGCCTCTGTGTCCCTGCTGCTTACTCATTCTGAAAGCAATAAATGTTGGTCTTTTTCTGGCTTAATATCTACATTAGGGCTCCAGCTAACAAATACTTTCATTATTTTTCATTATTTGATTAATTAATTGAGTTGTTTAGTCTGACAAATATCAAAAAATAGTAAAAAGTGTCCACAATATCCCAAAAACCCAAGGTTACTTGAGACATTTAAGCCAAAACTAGTAAATTCTTTGGAAAACTGACTGATTTTGATTGATTGATATTGATTGACTAGTTGACTAATCGTTTCAGCTCAGTAGCTTTACTGCCTTTACCCTTGTTATCCTCCAAGGTATCACCTTAAACAATTTCATTACTATATGACGTCATTGTAGCTCTTTTGGGCAATGGTAAATAAGAAGAACAGGTGTAAAGTAATATTCTTTACTTAAAAGGCATAAAGATTTTTACCAAAGGTTTTTGAAATAGACCACTTCAATTGGTGTGAAAGTCAGATGTTCTTATTTTCAATTTTGCACGGAAAGTCCTTTTGTCTTGCACCAGTCGAGACCTGGAATTCACCACGGTTTATCAAGTAAGCAGTCTTCGGATTGACTGTGAGGCTTCGATATTGTGTGAGATTCCAGTGAATGTGAATTTGTGTGTTATTTTCAGTCCATGATGCAGCTGTGATGCAGATGGATTACACTGGAAGATGCATTTAGCTCCACAGCTTGAAGCCCATAAAGTCTTGAAAGTGGAACTACATTTAAAAAAGAAAAAAAAGGTTTCTGGCTTTTCATGGCTGCATTTAGACATGTCAATTTGTGTATGAAAGAGCGGGAGAGGTGTTTTTCTTGTGTGTACGTGAGCAAGTGAGTGTGGGAAGAAGAGAAAGAGGTGATTCTACTGTGAGAACCTGGACGGTTGAAAGTAGAAATTTGCTCCTGTTGATTTACATTTGGTGACAGATGTACAGTAAGAATATACCTGCTGTACAACTGCAAAATCTCTTATTAGAGACCTTATCATATCAGAATAATAATTAATAATTAATAATCCATTTGAATTTGAATTTGGATTTAATTTAATTTAATTTGAGAGAAATATTCCGTCTCGAAGTCCGACTTGTTGATCTTTTCAGTGTCCGCTTTCACAACTTTCATCTTTTCTTGTTGAAAGCGAGCATGAAAAGTGCTCAGAGATTTCTGTACACTTTCTCCATCCATGTATGTTTCATAGAACACTGAAGAGAAACAGCAACTTGTATAATACAGTATCACTACCCAAACTGGTCAACCACCAAAACTTTTTTAAAGGTTTTGGGCTTGAAATTGTGTCTTGACTCCCTGAACTGTGCGGCCCTTCATTTAGCACCTCATTAATGACTTGATTGATTGATTGTGAGATTGTTCTCGCATTTATAAATGAATGACACAGCTTTTTGAGTTCTGTGGCATAATGATGACTCAGGTCTGTTTTACCAGTAGGCCAAATGGCCAGATGGGATGGTTTATTTGCATACCTAACAGTCAAACTGATTGATTTCTTGGAACCCAGGACGATGGGACCTGAGAGAGGTAGAATTTGCAACCACTAAGTCTCATCGGATGTGCCATTTACTGTACACTGTGTGGCTCTAATTAACATACTGCAAAAAAAATGACAAGGTCAGTTTTAAGGAAGTAAATCTGAGCCTCGAAAGTAAAGACAATTAATATCTGCACTCAACATACTGCAAAGGAAAATGTCAGGGTCAGTTTTTAAGTAAGTAAGAGCCTCAAAATTGTCTTCTTGCAAGTAAAGAAAATTAATATCTGCACTGAACAACGATTTGCATGCAGAATGTTTGGGAGTGTGTTCATGCTTTCTGTCTGTTTGGTTTTACAAATCACTGAGTCATGGTCATGATGAGTTTTAGGAGCGATGGTGCAAAGATACAAGAGGACTTCTCAGTATTTGTTTGCATGAGATGTCTTTAAAATATTACATTTTCCCGCTGACATACTACTTTGATGAATGTAGAGTATGTTAGTGTTTAAGTGTGTGTGTGTGTGCACATTGTTTGTGGTTGCTGTGTGTGAGCCAACCTGTCTGGAGCGCTTCCAGAGCTCGACGCGTCCCAGAGGGCTCAGGGGTTTTTGCAGCAGTGCAGTCATAACGGGACACGGTAGTTTCTGTCCACTGCGTGTACCATCAGCTGCCAGGTGCACTTTACAAAAAACACACACAGGCGAACATCGTTATGTCATGACCCCCGGTCAGAGGGACAAGGTTTCAGGGGCCGCCCCATCCACCGAGAAACAGGAAGTGTGTTAGAGCCAGTGTTCGAACAACAGATGACCTGACAGGATAAAAACTCCTGTTGCACTTACTGACTGTTCATTAATACAACAGATTTATCTGCAGAAGAGTGTTGTTTGAGTCTAAACTACTCCCC